ATACACTGTTCACACATGCCCGGAAACCGCGAATCCGGCAGGCCAGGCCAGGTCGTTTCGCCAAGAAACTCCGAATTTGGCCACCGCCGGCCGCCAGGACTTTCGGCCGGGTACAGGTCCTGGCCAGGCTGGGCCAGGCAGGGCCGGCGATGGCAGGTACCTCGTCACGTGACCTTGAAGTCGCAGTTCAGGCGGGAAACTTTGAACTCCGGAAAGAAAGGCTGCTTAGCTTGAAGTGCTGGCAGGAGAGCAACTCTTAAGGAGAGCGCCAACATGGCGACCGCCAATGCAGCAGATGGCGCTGCCATCCCCGCACCTGCTGCACATGCTGCTGCTGCAGCACCTCCCAAGAAAGTGGCTGCTAATTGGAACCCAGAGCTGGACCAGAAGTTCGTTGGCGTTTGGGGAGAGGAGTTTCTAAGGATCAAGCAAGGGAATTTTAAAACTCACAACTGGAGCTTTGTGACAGAGCAGATAAACAAGGAACTCCCAGAGGGTGTAGCCCCATTCACAGTCAAGCAGTGCCAGGAGAAGATCAACAGTCTCAAGAAGAGGTTTGCGGCAGAATTGAAGAAGAAAACCAGCACGGGGTCTGTGAATAGCTCATGGGTCCTCTTCGAAGTCCTGGCTCCTTACCTGAAGAAGTTGCCCAAGGTCATCGGTATTCCAGGAGCCATTGACAGCGGGCTTCTTGAGGTGCCTGCCCCGCCAGTCATATCGACAGGAGGCAACGTTGCGGGGGATGAGGAGGGAGAGTATGTTGGGGAGAATGCGGGCGCCGAATCAGACGCGGTTGACCAGCCTGCAGCGGGGGAGCATTCAGAGCAAGTCCTGTCCCCTGCTAGTTCCCAGCCCCCAACCCCCAGCCCCCAGCCCACCTCTGCGGAGTCAGAGAGGGCCAAGCGCCGCGTTTCTGCGCCGACGGAGGACGAGCTGGATCCAGGCCGGGGAAGCCCCAGGGAAAAGTTTGAAAAGAAACCTGGAATCAATGGTCAGATCAATGGGAAGAACAAGCGTTTGAAGGGCTCTCCTGGGGGAGCGCTAGCAAGAAGCATCGACAACTTCACGAAGGTGTACGCTAGCATGGCAGCAAAGGCACTGGAGGTTGAAGAACGTATTGCAAAGGACAAGGCAGACACAAATCTGCAAATGCTGGACATTAAATTGAAGTACCAGACTGAGCTGGAGAAGATGCGCAGGGGCATGCAGGATCCATGATGACATGTAAGTACTTCTTCTCTATTTCTCAGGTCTACAGGTTATTGTTTTCAGCATACGTTTCTGTGCAACTTCTACTCTATGTTTCTCAAAGCAAAGTCTCTCAACAATGCAGCTCGAAAGTCTTGGCCAATCCTCTTGCTAGCATATTCCGACATCAAGGGGGGAATGTGCTCGTCATTTAGATTGTTATTCTGCGGATCTAATAAGTCCACATTGTCTCCTGGTTCGCCTGCCCTTTGGCATATGTTGTGAAGGACACAACATGTTATCACAACTTTTGGTGCTGAAGGCAGCACTACATTCAAGTTCTTAAGGATCTGCCATCTATTCTTCAGTATGCCAAAAGCATTCTCTATCTTGACTCTCCCTTTCCTAAGGTGCTTGTCAAACAGATTCTGATCAGGGCTGCCCGTGGCTCTATTGTTGAAAGCTTTAAGCAGAAACGACATCAGAGGGTATGCACTATCACCCACAATGTAGGGCTTGATGTCTTTGCCTTGAATTCTAACGACTGGCTCTTGTAACACTTGCCCTCCTCTCAATTCCTCCCAGATCTGGGTGGTCCTCAAGTGGGCGGCATCATGACACCCCCCAGGCTGCCGGCAAGCGACACTCCAGAAGACCTTGTCGTAGTCGCAGATTCCCTGTAGTAAGATAGAGTGCATATCGTGCCTGCTCCAGTATTGTGCGGGCACATACTTAGCTGCTGGTTTCTTGTACAGTTTGATATGAGACCCATCAATGGCCCCACACATGTTGTCCAATCCTGTGCCTGCCTTGAACCGTGCTATGATTCTCTTGAGGTTGGTTCCCGAGGGCACTTGTATGTACTTGCTGCGCAACTTGTTTTGATCGGAGAGTGCATCTACAATCAGATCTGTATATTTGACAATGGTGCTTCCCCCTACTCCATAAAAGCGTCCCACATGTTTTGGTGAATAACCATGTGCAAGACGAAATAGAACCATTGCCACAGCCTTATCTACAGGTACAGCTTTCCTCCATCTTGTATCCTCTTGCTGGATGTATGGTGTCAGATCCTCGACAAGCTCCTCGAAAGTTATGTATGACATTCTGTAATTCTCTACCCACTTCTCATCAAGCAAGGCAGGAGAAAGCCTCCAGACCTCTCCTTGAATAACGTCCCATTCCGTTTGTTGTTTAGGGAAAACCCACCAGTCTCTTCCGCGAAAGTTCATGCTACTCTCTTCTATGTATCCAGATAATGCAACCATGATCATGAGCATGGCAGCCCCAAGATCCATGATGCTTTTCAAGAGCTTCATGACGGCGGCCTCGATGTAATGTCCTTTGAGTGCAGTGTAGACATAGAATGATGCTACAGCAATCAGCTCTCCAAAGATGACATGTTCCCTGGTACCGTCCGTCTCGACCATAAAAATCTGCTGCGGACGTCCGGCCCCGCGGCCGGTGATCGCCGGCGCCTGCCCAGAATGGTAGTGTGAACAACCCAGCATTTTCCGGTCGGACCGCCCGTCGGCGACCGGTACCTGCCTGGACCTGCAGAAAACATGTGTGAACAGTGTATGATTCCGAATGCTCGAAAAAGGCAATTATTTTAGCGAATGCGAGCCCAAATCATGTATTATTTTCCACTTTCCGACCCTAAATCCGAATGGCCAGGAGGTACCTCGGTACCTACATATTTGAGGTTTGTAGCCGAAAACGGTATGTACCGTATACTCATACGGCCTACAAATTACTTTCCGAACGGGATTTAGCAATTATTTTCGGTTTCCGAAAAGGCAGAATCCGACTGCTTATCCGGAGTTTCCAACTTTCCGAATGCAAATAATTATTTATTTATTCGGAATCATACCTTGGTCGTACGGTACTGTAGGCAGCGCTTGCCAATGGCAATGGCATTGGGGCGCATTGCATCACTGCCATCTTCTGTGCCTGATCAGGGAGGCGACTGCAGGCTCTGAGTATGCGAGAGTCTTGTTGCAGATTGCCCTGCATGATAGACGCGTATGAAGAGGTTGTGGAGAAGATTGAAGGGAGGTGATGGCAGCAAGAATGGCGACCGCGCCCCAGTGCGTGCTGCCCTTGCCGAAGCACCTGGGGGACGTCAGAGGCAGCAAGAGACAAGGGAACCGGAGCAGCAGCGCGTTGTTGCTCCAGAGGCTCTTGCTGTTTGCAGTGGTGCCCCCCAAGCAGAGGTGACCGCACAGTCCCCTTTGACACCATGCGACACCTCCGGCCTGGCAGCGGCGCCAGGCGGTGAACCCGACATCTGTGGTTTGAGGGAGAGTTCTGGCCGACCAGGAGCCCCAGCTGAAAAACCACCACCCACACCTGAGGTGAGCAGACAATGATGTAGATGCAAACCTGTTGGTAGACGCATTGTGACAGCATTTGGAACAATTTGCGCTGCATTGCTAATGGAGCAGGCTGATAAGCGTTTCTATGATCTGCAGCGCACTTCCCCAGACGTTCAGACCAATGCAAGCCTGGCAGTGCGGTTGCAAGCTCCCCCTCAGTCTCCCGGCAGCTCACCCAAGGCTCCCAGCCAGGCGGGAGACCCTGAGCAAGGAGCGGCACCTGGCGTGCGGGGGGCGAGTGTCCTGCTTCAGGAGGGGGGCGCTGGGCCGTGGGGTGTCTCTGTGCCGCGCACGTCCCGATGGCAGGTGGATGTTTCCAGGCTGTCAGGGGTGAGGCAGCAGGAGGGGGCGACCCGCTCTGAGGGCTCACTGGCTTGCCTTCCACCAGCATTGCCCCTGTCCTTGAATGCTGTCAGCTGTCCCCACATGAGTGACCGTCACCTGCACAACCGCCACCGATTGGACCGCCTCCATCACCACCATGGACATCCTCGTCCCGGCGCCTCTCCTTGCTGCCTCCGCTGTTGCGTATTCCCGCTGACCCTGGCACCGGGCAGTCGCTCCACACTGACAAGAGAGTCCTGTTGGTTCCCAGGCGCGGCGGGCCTTGCGGGAGGCTCCCTCTGGCAGCGCTGACTCCACGCAGTCCTTGTCAGACGCAATGCCGTGCTCGCCGCGCGAGGCTTCCTCGGAAGTAACGTCGCCCTCGTTGGAAGTGAGGCGCCAGCAGAGAGACTATGCGTTGGTGCGCGATCTGGCTGTCACACTACCATGGGTGCCTTGCGGTAGTGCAGCAGAGCAGGGCAAGAATGGGCAGCTTGTAAGTGGCACTGGGAGTGTGCCCCCAGGAGTGGGCCTCCGTAAGGGCGCCTGGAGTACCCCCAGTATCACACGTGTGAAACTACGCCTGTGCCGCTGCTTTGGCCAGGTCTTTTGCCAGGCTCCTTGCCCTTTCTGCGCAGCTGCCCCTCTGTCTGCCTGCGTCCAAAGCGTCCCCTGTTGCTGCTGCAGGACCGAGAGCAGCCTGTCTGCTTGCCTGGCCTCCCTGCCTGCCCCGCTCATCCCTCCGCCTGCAACGGAAGCCTCTGTGACACTGCCGTGGCGGCGCTTGAGAGTGGGCCTGCTGACCAGTCCCTGGAGGCGCTCCTGCAGGTGAGGGCCCCAAGGCAGCGGCAAAGTTGTCTGCAGCCAAGCGTTTCCTTTGCCAAGCAAGCCGCTTTCTTCATTGTTCTCTCATGCGGATCAGTTCTCCAACTTCTCCGTGGCGCAGCCCCGCCCGGTGGGCCTGAGCTGCGCCCCTCGCTGTGGCTCGCAGCTTTGGGTGGGGTACTGGGAAGTGGCAGAGGCGCTGAACCATGTGTGCTCCAAGTTGCCTTCTTGGGCTGCGCACCTCCTACTGCCACCGATGCCCATACAAAGCTTTGCGTCCCTCTGTTTGTGCGACTCCGTCAATCGTTTCTGTTGCCCCAGCTGAGCCAGGCGTGCGCCACCTGGCACAGGCTGCAGTGCGGACGCGGGAGGAGAGTGCTTCGCGCGCTGCGGCGGCACTGGCGGCGGCTGCGCACCTGGACAACGTGCTCCATGCGGCGCGCGTGTACACCAGCATGCAGGATCTCAGCGCGGGAGGGCCTCCGCAAGCCGCCCTGCAGGCGCTGCTCACGCTGCGCGAGGAGGGCCACGGTAGGGAGGACCCTGCTATGGCCGCCGCTCTTTCTAGTACTTGAGCTGATTATATCTGGTCCTGCCGTCAACGACTTCTATGTCGATCTCCGCTTGCGTAACAGAGTGCTTCAATAGATTCCACTTCGAGTTGATGAGTCAAAGACACTCTTCACGACAACAATGTTGTCGGCAATGAAGAGCACAGGCTGGGGGAACGGGATCGTGCAGGCCCCGCTGACGGAAGTGCGTTGGGTGACGGTCTGCTTCGAGTTTCCGTTGCAAAATTCGGAGGACGTGGTCGAGCTCCTACGAGCTTCCGCCAGCTGAGTGCTGGTGACAAAGCACCAATCGCGTACGACGATGTTGCTGCAACGCTCTCTCCTCTGCTTCTCCCTGACCTGGAAGCAGCAGCTGCACGGAGAACCGCTGATGCAGTCCCCCCCCATCCGTGCAGGCCGCCAGCTGGGCGCGCACCGGCCCGCCTGGGCGGCTGCCTGGGTCGAGGCGGCTCTCTCGGGCGGCCTGGCCTCCCTGCCGCCGCCCGTGCCTGGCGCACGCGTCACTCCGCCCAACGGTGTGCCCAGGACTGGGGTCGCCCCCAGCAGCAGTCCCGCGCTGGCCGCCAGGTCGCTGCTGAGCGGTGGCGGGAGGCACGGTACCCGGCGGGCAGGCGCAGTCGTCACCACCCCGGCCCCTCCCCTCCTGCAAGCTCGGGCCGAAGGGCAGAGCCCCGCAAGGCGCAGGGAGGCCACGGGGGCAGGGCCGGCAGGCGACGAGGGGCAGCCCGACAAAGGCGACCGCGGTCGGGCCAGCATGCTTGCGGAGGCTGGCGAGGCCGGGGAAGGCAGCGCCGCCCAAGAATGGCAGCAGGGCAGCAGCACGAGGGCGACCTACCCGGCGGCCCCAGCAGAGCACACCGGAGAGGCGCTCTCTGCTACGGGCAACCGGCCGGAGGATGGCGGGTCCTGCCCGGAGGCCGTTGGGCCGGCTCTCGAGGCCTGGGTGCGCGAGGGCGCGGAGCGACAGCTGGTGGCGCTCGTGGAGCGGGTGCTGGAGGAGGCGGGTGGCAGCCCGCTCGGGACAGGCGGGAGGAGGTACGCGCACGTGGAGCGGACAAGTGGGAAGCTTGCCCAGTCAGGTTCCGCCGGCATGCCCGTTCAGCTTCCCGCGATATGCAAACATAGGAGGACAACGGACGACCTTGACCTTGCTGCAAGCCTCTCGTAGCTCCCGCCAAAGCACGTTTGGCGTTTCTATCTGCTTTGAGATGATTTGTTTGTGGAGAGCGTGGGTGAATAACCGAATTTATGCACCTGTCCTTTCTTCAAAAGACAAAGCCCCGAGTGGTTTCTGGACGAGGGAATTTCAGCGGGGAGTGATTTGCTAGAGGTGCCGCTGACTTCGTGCAGATCCGATGTGCCATGTCCCTGTCCTGGCAGTTGACGAGTCTGAGACACATGCCCGCATTCGAAGCTTCCCCGTCCGAGAACAATCACTTTGAGAACGGAAGTGATACCGTTCAATTTCTGCGTGCAGGTCTGGGGGGGCGGCCACGGAGTTGCTGACGCTGCTGCATCGAGCTCACAAGCAGCTGGCAGAGGTCGAGGCGGCGAGCGCCGACTACGCAATGAGGGCCAAGGCAGCCACAGCGAGGGACGAGATCGTAAAACACGTGACAGCGTACGTCAGTAGTTAACCCAAAGAGATACTCATGACGGCACGAGATCACTGCCCTAAATCGTCTTTCGGGTCACGGCTCACAGCGGAAGGTTCAGCAGAACCCAGAGTAGAGGTTACGAGATCTGTATACTTTTGAGAGGCACGCAACAGGTGTAGAGAACATGAGATATGAGGCCCGCTGCGCAGTGCTAGCTGGCAACCAAATTCAATTGACAGTAAAGTTGAGGCCAAATTGTGAGGTACAGTTGTACGGACGCATACGAATGCACCAAATTTGTGGGATCTATGCAACGTACAGCCTGGCCACCATGCTTCAACCTTGTTTGCTGGTATGATCGGATCGATCAAACGTGTTCTTAGTTCCTCATCATGTTCTACCTAAGCGTATAATCACCTAGCTTTGAGTTCGTCTATAACTTGCATGCTGCAGCATCGATCATGCATAATTCACATGGCATGGTTTCGTAAATTCTCACAAGTGCTGGGATAGTATATGGGCACTAAGCGCTGACTCAGCATGTGGACTGCTGAACAAATAAAGTACGGCCGTCATGTACATCATACATTTCCCCTAATGATTAGCTAGTCGGATCGACAACTATATTTCATCAGATCAATAGCCTGTACCCCCGGGGAAAGCGTAGCTATGTCGCTGGCGCAGGTCTGAGCCTGTATAGCCATCTGGAGAAGTTGACAAACTAGGTATGTAACTTACTAACGTAGTACACTAAGATGCATGCGGTGGGGTCACAGCTAGGCGTTCAAGTGACGAACATTGATTCCCATGTATATGCCATGGAAGCCTATGGCCAATGTGGTGATTCCTAGTATTCGGGCCGGGCATGCAGATTAAGGTACTGCTGCCTGGGTCAATGAATGATGCACTTGGTCTGGACATGCTTATAATTTGCAGTCCTTAGAGTTCGCGAGCTGTCAAGTTCAATTGATCCACTCCTAAAGGCCACAAAGCACTGGAACGCCTTCCGAGTCCTCTGGGTGTTGGTGCCGCGTTGAAGCGCGCTGCAGCCTGTGGGTACTCTACAGTAACGTTTGGCGCGTGCCTCTAGTCAGAAACCGTTGTCCAAATCAACGCGCGCACCTCTAGCAGTAAGCCCTACGACAGAATGTCCTGGCTTTAAGCCACAATTCTCCAATGTTATCAGTGCGAGCTAGCTTGCCAAAATTGAGCAATCTTTACTCTGCGGGCATGTCCTGCGCGTGCAGTGCCGTGCCGCCACTTCCTCATGTAGAAGTCGTCGCCCCGCAGCTCGTGAGCATGCAAGCGAGCGACCATAGCGTGCAGTTTCTTGGAAGGCTGTTCGACACATGGGCTATGTTACAAGTTGCTTCGGCCATACCTCCTGTTGGCATGGCTCCCCTTGGGCAGGTGGCGCGCTAATGCCACCACGCGGCCTGCATCTTGAGGTCTTCGCGCGCGCACGCCTGGCTGGCGGCCTCCAGGTCGAACATGGGGTCCAGCGCGTGCGCGCTCAGCAGGCCCTCCAGCGCGCTGTCCGCCTCGCCCTCCCACTCCATGGCCCCCCACTCCGCGGCCCCCGCGCCATCCCCCTGCGCGGCGTACCCGCCCCAGGCCAGGTCAGGCGCGGGCGCACTGTGGTGGCCCATGCCGCCCAGGCCGCCGTCCAGCGGGTCACTCGTCAGCAGGTCGCGGAAGGCTTCGTCCAAAGTCGTCTCCTCAGGCGCCGCAGGGAAGCAAGCCGAACGGGCGCCTCCGGAGTGCACCTCATCACCCCCGCTCCCGGCGGCAACAACCGGCAGGGGCATTGTCGAAGTGGGCAGCACAAAGGGAACAGGCAGCGCGGGCAGTGGGGCCTCGTGTGGTGGTGCCGCGGCAAGCGGGGCCGGCGCAGGCTCCGCTGGGGACAGGCGCGCGCGCTTCAGCAGTGGCGCTGACAGGGTGCGGCGGGGGCGCTTCTCGGGAGAGCCAGGCTGGGGGGGAGCAAAGGGTGCGGGCAGGTTGCGGAGGGCAGGCAGGCTGGCTGAGGCGACAGCGGGTGCAGCGGGCGGGGAGCTGGGGGGAAGAAGGCAGTGGGCGTGCGCCTGGCGGAGGTCGTCGAGCTGCGGAGAGGAAGGGCAGGGTCAGGGAGGGGGGCAGATTGAGGCAGGGCGGGGAGGGATGCACGAACTCAATGGGAGATTCCGCAGGCACCACCGGCTTCTGCAGGGGCCAAGCACGTAACGGGGGGAGGTAAGGCAAGGTAGAGGGGATGCAGGCATCGTTGACGCAGGGCTTAGCTGCTGAACAGGCAGCGGCCAAGCCGAGGACCCTGGGATGCGCGCACCTCTAGTTTGAGGGCCTGGTTCTCCGTGAAAGCGGCGCGCAGGCACTTTCTGAGGAGGTCAAAGTCGTGCTGCAGCTGCCTGGTGCGCTGCCGGGCGCGCCGGTTCTGGAACCAGGTGGCAATCTGCTGCTGGGACACGCCAAACTGCCGCGCCAGCGCCGCACGCTTGCCTGCAGCAACGCCAGGCAGAAGCAACGGTCAGCAGCTGCGCATCAGAAGCCCAGCATTGCAAACATGGTGACAGGACGCCCGGCGGGCATACTGGTTGGGCAGGCGAGCAAGAGGATACGAGGCAGCTCGCTGCTGTCTGATGGGCCTTGAGTTTGGCACCGGTGCACCTCAGAGGCAGTTGCCCCTGCTGTTGTGTTACAAGATTGTCGCACACTCTCTGGAAGAGCACATTGGGTCCTTTGCACGGTCAGGCAACCATTTCCCAATGACGTCCAACAGTGCAGAGTGTCGCTAGCTGGGTGGCTCCATCCTCACCTGGCGCTCCTGCGGGGTCCCTCTCAAAGATGCCCTCCAGGGCTTCCACGTGTGCTGCACTCAGCTTGGGCCTGCGGCGTGCGCTCTCCCCGCCGTCCGCACTTTCGTCCTCCTGCTTGCAAGCAACGCTCCAGGCGCCCGCAGGGGACACGGCCGAGCTGGGGGACGGCAGGCCCGCCGCCCGTGCGTACGCATCCTCAGTAACACACGCGGCGCGAGGGGAGGCTGCAGCTGCAGGCGGGCAACGAGAGGGGGTCAAACATCGTTCCGCATTGATAGATGTCTTTTCCAGCAAAAGGCCAGGGGGTGAAGCACATGTCGCAGAGGGCAAACTTCAAGAGACAGCTTTGGGCATCCTCCCCAGAGCAAAAGGCGACCTCGAGTTGCAATGCAGGGCCACAAGCCAGGACACTGGCGGAGGATTGAGAGCAGGGTCCTCACCCTGAGCCAAGGGCAGGCTGGTGGGCTCCTGCTTGACGCGGGTGGCGCGCGGGCGCGCGGGCGTGCTGGCGGTGGCACTGGAGGAGGACAGGTGGACCATGCTGGCGCCCAAGTGGGGGCAGCAGCACCTGATTGCTACTGGTCTATGATGGGGACCCTCGAAGAAAGTGCGTGCAAAACCTCAGCGTGCCAACGGTAAGCGTTCAAAATGTAAGCGTGCAAAATGTAAGCGTTCAAAAATAAGCGTGCAATCTAAAGTTCACTAGTATTACTCTCCAGGAAATGTGGGGGTTAAGCGTGCAGAATCCAGTTGTGAATTGGCGGCAATTGAGCAGTCTGGGTTAAATCAGCCTTCAACTGTTTGCTCATTGCTCTGCTGCATTGTGCTGGCATGCTGCACGCATGCCTGCGATGGCACTCCTCCTCTGCCAGCTCTGCCTGGCGGCCACTGCTGTCCTGCAGTGGGCCATGTTGTCCTCGTTGAAGCCACATCCATCTCCCGCACCAGGAGCGTCCTCTCTGGTTCGCCACAAGGGGTCAGAGCATGCCCGCCCCGCTGTAAGCAGTCCCCCAACCAAGCTAGCCCTTCAGCGCCCTACTGCTCCCCTGGCCCGTCATCAATGTGAGACGCGACTGAAGCGCCTCCCCGGCAGGCTGTGGCAGCTGCACCAGCTGGAACGGAGGCTCTGGGCAATGGGGCAGCGAGCTGGCCAGCGAATGCGCAGGCGAGAATGGTGCACATTGCAGATGGACTAGCTGAGAATATGCTAGGGATTTCTAAACTCGATCCTGGATGCGAAGAGATCGGAGATCAGTGCTTGCAGGCAAATGTTGCCTTCAAGGTGAAGTAGGTACCTACGGCAACCGGGAAATTAATTCAGGTATGGCTCCGGTCCTCCACTCCCGCCCTGTCCCGACAATACTTGAAGCGGGGATTTGCACCCGAGCTTGATGAGCTCAATGCTCTGTACTTGGGCAGAGCTTCGTGACTGACCAGTGCCTGATTTTCGTCCCCGGTTGTAGTTGCTGATTGCCGGTAGTGTCCCCTGGGGATGCAACAGAACATGGTCGGTTGATCGGATACCGTAGCACAGCCTGCTAGCAGGAAACGTGACAAATCTGACAGATGCCAGTCTGGATTTTGAATCCGCCGGGCCGGCATTGAGTTTGGGCTCTCGCGCGGGATTGAAACCCGGCAGTAAAATACAGTACAATTGAATTGCTCTCAGAATCGCTCGCAAGCTTTCAGGGATGCTTTATGCGCATGGGCTAGCCGGAGAAAACCACTGTGAACTTGTGAAGGCGCAGACCCCATTGACTTGAGTGGACCGTCAAAGACCAGTGCATTTACTTTTGCAACTTCAATGATGACATAAGATGATTGGAAACGTGACCAGGCTTCGCGCCCGGGTAGACCCTACGAACCCACAACCTTCAAAATTGACCCGGGCAGAGCCGCGCAATTTCACTCAGTGAAATCTTGTCGCACCGTAGACTGCCGACACTTAGCAGAATCAGGCAGGTTTGTCTCAGAATCCAGTCTGCGTTTCAGACCTGTAAGAAATGTCCTGTCCCCCGGGTGAGGCAGTCAGACCATTGCAGGCCTGTTTTTGGCCGCAAGTCCGCTTGGTAAGGTTCACAAGCTAAGGTCTCTACCGGGGACTTCTAAAGCCTAGAGGAGTGCTCGGTCGACCCCAAGGTTCACAGAACACACCGGGCGGACTTGTCGCCAAATACAGGCCTGTTATGGTATGACCGGGTTGACCGGGGGACAGGGGCAGTTCTTACAGGTCTGAAACGCAGACTGGATTCGCGAACAACCTGCCTGAATTCTGCCACGTGTCGGCAGTCTACGGTGCGGCAAAATTTCACTGAGTAGAATTTCACGCGACCGCGGCGATCGCGCCCGGGTAAATGTGAAGGTTGTGGGTTCGTAGGGTCTACCTCGCGCCCGTACATGCCCGTAGCCTGGAACAAAATTTAATAGGGTCGTGAGTCGTGACTGACCATCTTTTGGCCGGATCGCTGAGGCTACGGTAGCTCCATCTGGTTCATTGTGGTCGGAGCTCAGAGTCACACCTTCGGTTGGGAGAAGCTTGGAATATAAGTATCTGGTAGCCTGACTTGAGCGTATAGTCAGGCCTATCCTGGGCCCGGAGGTTGCCAAAGTTGCCCGCGACGTTGCGCGACTTTCCGCGATTCTGCGCGACTTTACGCGACTGCTCCGCGACTTTGTTTCGCGATCTTCGCGACTTTCATCGAAACCTTACAAAGCTTTGACAAACATGTTTTCAAGAATGATTTGCATTTAGATATTTGCAGATCTGCGCGACGTTCCGCGACTTTCCGCGACTTTGCGCGACTTTCGTCCGCGACTTTCACCGCGACTCTGCGACCTCCGGGCCCAGGATAGGCCTATAGTCTAGTGATACTTTCGCTGTAGTCCCCTGGCAAAGTTAGACACACAAACTTCATATATGTATGCCATGAGAAGCCTCGATCGAGTTCAATGGCCTATTTGGCTACGTACGGGAGAACGAAACTAGGCGTGCCGGGGGCTCTTGGGCCCCCGGATGCTTTGTAGTGTCAACAGAGGCAAGCTCGAAGCACATTCCCGCATCTACTGACATTTCCAATCGCTCACCAAACTGTCGAACCTGGTGCAAACGACCTCAACGTGCACGCTCAACTTGACTGCTTGACACCAGTTGCAATATCGATGCGAGCTCGGGCAAACAGGCCTCCAGGCGTGCATTTGTGCACTGAACGCTGCTCATAGTGTCACTTTTTCATAACCCGCTGCTGTTCCTAAGATATATTGACACAAACAATAAAACTGGTGCGACCACTCACAGTGCTGCCTACGAGTACAGCATTATCACTACCAAAAACCCGGAGGAAGTGACATGCCAACCAATTCAGACTGCGGCTCGGCGCGGAGCCTTGACACCACATCACAGTCTGCCTCGGTCCTTATCATTAACACCAACCTAGCTGCAATGTACATGCGGAGTCTGAAACCTCGGTATCGACCAATCAGATTGCCGGGATGGGTCCTGAAGACTCTGTAAGAGTCCCCTACAGAGACCAATGATCGGAGTGAGACCGTCCATCATGTATCAGCAAAAGGTCGCGTTTCACCCGATTCGGTCTCAACTTGTATCCGACACGTCGCCAACTTTTTGGACATGGCTTCTTTTGGAATAGTGGCGGCCGACACTCCAGGGGCGGCCAAAATACATGCCAGAGATGAATGAGTACATAATGCTTTCTGGCTTCGCAGCGCCTGCACATCTTACCGAGTACCTAGCAAGTGCCATGGGGTGATCAGATTAAGTTGTGAAATCGAACGCACATGATCTGGCAGCTGCTGGTGATGTCGCAGATAGCTTGATGCAGGGCCGCCAGCATGATGTAAGATGATACTCAACCCAACCACAAAGGGGTCACGTTCAAAAGCGTATAGATATCTGGCCTCCCATGCTATAACACGATAGAATCGTACAAATTACTGTAGTACACAATCCTGCCGCGCTTGTCATACTGGGCAGACGAAAGGACCATCCCAAATGATGTGCACAATACACGACACGTGAAGAAGACTTCAACGTTCCTTGGAATCAAAGAACGTCATTTGACCGCTCCTTGACGACCAATTGAGTATCATAGCTTATGTACTAAACCTGTCCTAGAAAGAATGCAACCTGCAAGAGCCTCCGGGTCACGTATGGTGCGTGTTAGCTACGCTGCGACTGTTTGGGCGCGCCTGGTCCGGTCGACCATGGTGCTCCGCTTCATAGCGACCGAGTGCGCGCGCGCCGCGAACTTGCCCACAATGTCCTCGTCAAGGGGCCGCACTGCAATCTCCTTGCCGTCCCCCACCTGCTTCACCGACTTGCTCATGTCAATGGGCCCGTGCAAGTCGTCCCGCTCCCGCCCGCCAATGGACGCATACGCAGAGAAGCCGGAGCCTGCCGTCCCCCCTCCGGCTTTCAGCTGCTCGTAAGCCTTGGTCACCTGCGCCATGCAGCAGCACCACGTGAGCGAGAGCGGAGCATCAAAAGGAAGATTGTCCAGGTGGCTGCAACACAGAGCGACCGCCATACTTGCACTTCCCGCAGTGTGCCTGCCTGGTCTGGTGGGCGGGCAGCGCTGGCCCTGCGTGCTGCTCACCTGCATGTACTTGGCTGCGGCGTCGGCGGCGGGGTTCCTGTCGGGGTGGTAGATGGCCGCCATCGCGCGGTACGCCGTGCGCACCTGCACCCAACCACGCACCCGCGCACCACGTCAGCTCCGCGGCTCCTTGAGCCCACAACCGCAGCTGGGGCCCGTTAACGGAAATGCGAGAGTCCCCTTCTCGGCTGAGTCTTTTCCTCTTTGCCTGATAGGTATGATCAGTTGTCTCAAATACGGCTTCTGAGTTTCATCCTTCTTTTCCCTTTCCGCTTTCACTCTCTTCAAAACTGGAAAAAGACGGTTAAGATAGACAGTCAGCTGGGTCTTTGCTATTGCTCCTTGACCCGTTGCTGGTCGCGGGTGTTCCACCCCCCCCCTCACCTGCTGTGAGCCGGCCCCCCGGCTGAGGCCCAGCACTGCAAAGGGGTCCTGCTCGCTGGGTGCCGCCTCGCGGCTGCTGTTGTCCACGTTCTCCAGCACGTGCTTCACAAAGCTCTCGCGCTTCTCGTACGCGTACTCCAGCCTGCACAAACACCGCCAGTCAGCCGCCGCCCAGCAGCGAACAAACGGGCTACAGCAAGAGGGATCCACCGCCGGTGCGCCTTCGTAGGCACTGTCCACTGATGGCAACAACGCACCAGTGCATCCTGCACAAGTGGTATCCGATAGCTGGGCCAGACGAGTTGTCAACCGGAATTGTCGACTGACACCTCCGACGAAACTCCACCCCCCAACCACGGGTACCACCTAGCCTATTCACCAAGGTCGCCCTTACAGAGTTACAGGCTGCTCCTGACATACTCGGAGGTGGCAAGCCCAGACACAAAGCCCTCACCTGCTGCGGAGACAGCCCAGACAGTAAAGGAAGCAACAATCGTAACAATCTCGGGTTTGCGTTTGACATACATATTGAAGCTCAAAAGGCATATTAATGGCCGCAAAACCGAAAGGCTGCCTGCCTGAAGCACAAACTCAGAATCAAGATGCAATACCTGAGCCGCATCCAAACAGAGCGCTCCACCCAGGGCCTTACGAAGTACACATTCTGCCCGAAAGTGGAGCCCAAAAACGAAGACTTGTACAGACCCACTACTAGAGCGAGCACCGGCAGACATTAGCAGATTTGCACACGGATCATCAAATTCCAGTCTCTCACAGGAAACACGCCCGGCTTCTCTCCAGAGCTCTCCGAAGCTAGAAAGGGGCCATCGAATTTCCCATTCAATCTCCCCTCAAAGATCCTCTGCCGAAGAATCATTGGCCTTGTTGAAATGAAAAGGCACCTTATTGGCTAGAACCCTGTTTCAGGGTGGTAATCAGGACAGCAGGCGAGAGACCTCCCACAAGACAGGAACCCCACCGAACGCCTCCTAAGCAGCTGTCGCATGACCACGCTTTCTTTGCGTCGCCTTCACAGTCCAGGGCGGGCCAAGGGGCTTACATGGTGCGGGGCACGTTCTTGGCCTCTGGCACCGCCCGCTGCACGCACTCGCAGATCTCCCTGCGCGCAACCGCACCCACCGCATCAGAAACAGCCAGGGCAGCCACACGAGCTCACCGCTGCGATGCGGTGCCCCTCCTGGAGAGGATTCGTGATTCCTGAACACAATCTACACCAGCTTCTGTTCAGCTCTCGACATTTCCAGCTTCGAAGGCACACAAACAACTAATCAAGGGAGTAGATGAGTCATTGTCCCTGAGCAAATGCCGCGTCCGTCACAACCCAAGCTGCGCTGTTTTGACCACCCTGCCACAAAGGTTGTGCGCCTATTCGCGGAACAGGGGCAAGAGCTACCTCGCGCGTGTCTCCTGCACCTGTTGAGCAGACGAACCAGCCGGCACTGATTCGATCAAGCAGCCTGGCGGGCCCTTGAATGTGGGTGAGTAACGAAGCTGACTTGAACAAGGCCTGATCAATCCCACAAATACAAGCTAACATCCTTTAGGCACTGCGCCTGGTGGTCGTATGGCTGGGCTGGCCCCGAGGCCCCAGCGGTGCGGCTCACCTCTTCATGAGGGGCAGCATCTGCGCAACGTTGTCCTCCTGCGCGGAGAGGAACGCCAGCTCCGCCACGGGCAGCCAGTCGTGCAGCAGCTGCAGCGTGCGCACCGCCTCCGGCAGGGGCTCCTCACCCAGGATGAGGCGCGCACACACCACGTACTCGCGCACAAGGCCCTCCTCCAGCAGCTCCGGCCGCATCAATGTCTCGTACAGCTCACTCGCTCGTCGCAGCAACACCGCAGGGGCTGCCACAAACAGAAAAGGGTCAAAATGCAGCAAAAAAACTGTGCAGGGCCACAGGCGTACTTTGTGGGCCGTGATACCTGTGCACCACCGCAGAACAAGTGGCGATGACCCCATCGGCCGTAGCAAAGATCCTGAAGAGGCCCAAAAGTGGCATGAAAAAATGATCCAACAGCCTGCCAAGTGAAGCAAGCAATAAGGTAGAAATGCAGCATACTTCTTGAGCGCAATGGCTCCAGTTGCGATGCAAAGGCTTGAATTCTGTCTGTAGCATAGGCATGTCCCTTGGTTGTGTAACACCACCGCTGGAACCACCACCGTTACCGGCTACTGGCCAGGAACCGACCTCGTATAGGAAATGCATTACTAAGTGGCGCAAACCCCGCAGCATTACCCATTCTGACTGACACCAGCATCAACCCCTATGATGGTCCGAAAGGAAAAGGTTCAGTTTACCAACTACAGTCCCGCTGCCTCACTTTCTCTGGGTCCTGCCCCTCCCGCCCCAAATGCGCCCCCCCCGGTCCTCTTCTTCTTGGTCACCTTCTTCCCTGCCGCGCACTGCACGCTGCCCCTTCGCCGCACGTCCTTCTCTGTGAAGGTCAACACGTCCCCCGCTAGGCCCACGCTGCCACTGCTGGCACCACGTAAAGAGTGGACACCAGAAAGGAAAGAAGCAGAGCCCAATCCACAGCTGTCGCAGGAGGGCTGGGGAGCGCAACACTCAGAGTATCGCCCCGCCGCCTGCCCAATGCTGTGGCCCCAGGGCTGGGACGCGCTGGCCAGTGGGGGGAGCGCAGCTGCTGGAGCCGCAGCCCGTCGGCAGCGCGGCTGCTCTACACGCATCAAGGGCAGAGCACCCTGCAAGGAACCCGCGGCCAGGCGGGCGGGCACCACCCCAGCCATCACGAACCCACCGGCCACAGCGCTGCGGCAGACGGCCCAACGAGCACGAGCACCGCCACTTGGAGCAGGGTGGCCGCAGGATCTTCGAAGTGTGAGCAAGCCGTCTGCTCGCAAGCAACTTGAAGTTGGACTCAAGTCTAAGACGCCTCAGCCTCAGGCTCATGCAGTCTCAGGTTTTGAGGCCGCGCTGCGCGCGCGGCCTGCTCTATGCCGTCCCGGCGCCGTCCGGTCACTACGTTCTTCGTGGACCGCCCAGTCTAGTTCAGCGGCTAGGGTTCAGCTCGTCGTTCGCAGCTCGAGTTAGCGTGGCGAGGGCGTGGCGCTGGCACCAAACCTTCCTTGCTTGGGCGGGCGGCTCTTGTTGATCAGTGTCCAGCTAGGTAAACGGTGAGGTCTTGACCTTGACTAGGCTGATGGGTGCACGGTTGGGCAGGGAGGCGCAGGCTGCAAAGGACGAGCCATGCGTGCCCTCTCCTGGCATCCCAGAGGGCTGCCACTTTCACAACCACACGTCGGCAGTGTGGGAGAAACATCCCAATGCAGCAGCACGGTTCAACCCACCAGCAGAAACCCTGCCGCTCCCATTTAAATACTACGGCCAGGCATTCTTCAAAGGATTCGATTTTGAGAAGAAAGTGTGAGGTTAGCTCATGCAGGCGGGGAGCTCCAGCTCACAGCCTTGGCTACAACCCTAAAAGTCAAACCCTTATTCTCATGCCGTTGACCCTTGCCTCCTGACCTTTTCATGCCTAACGCAGCCGCTACTTAGCGCAGAGGCGGGGCAGCATTCCAGGTGACCAGCCTGGAGGCCATATCCAGCTCCTATATGTTCAGGCAATCGGCTGATTTTCACAACATTCTCACTTTCAAGGGCCACGATGAAGGTCAAGCAGAATGGGGATGAGAGGTCCGGGCACAGCCCTGGCTCTGCTGATGAAGACGGCCGCCGCACCAGGGAGAAGCACGGAGGGGTAAGTCCACTGTCTTGCCTACAAAAAGACAATGCAGAGACATTGGGTGATGCAGTACGATCAAAGTCTTCAATTGCAGAAGGGGAGCCTTAGTGGTCTGTGCTCGAACCTCCCCCCCACTCTGGTCCCTTCATGCAAGGCAGTGGCTACTCGACTACACTTGGAGAAGGTGGCCCCACACTCCTAACCGCGTGCATTCCCCTCCTTGTGTCTGTGGCAGGCATGGCGTTCAGAAAAGGCACGCCTGCTGCAGCTGCTGCGCAGCACGCAAGAGGAGCTGGAGGCTCGGGCGGAGGCGCTGGCGGACTGCCAGGCCCAGCTGGCGGATGGCCTCATTGCCCAGGTGAGAGCCCCAACTTCAGCTATCCTGAAAAGGTCGCGCGGCCAATTGTGGGCTTCTAGGAAGTATGTTCTCACTGGCCATAGGACTGGGGCACAAGCTTGTCGTGTCCCCTGCTCCGTCCTCAATTGCCTGAGCTGCCCCGCAGTCGCTGACGCGGTGTCAGTGTGCAGGCGGAGGAGAGAGACGGCCCTGCCACCCTGGCGGGCCTGGCGGTGGACCTCAAAGATCGCCTGCGCTTCAGGTACACTCTCGTGCCCCAGCAGCCCCCATTCTCTATCTGGCCCACACGAGCAGCCCCCGCTTTTAATCCAGTGTCATGCTGTACATCTGCTTTGTTGATTCCTCGTTGTGTCTGGCGTTGGTGCCGCTTTGTGGCTGACTCTGCTCTTGCCTGACCGCTGCCTGCAGTCACTGCCTGGCGCGCAAGCTGCGGCAGGAGCGCAACGCCAGTGTGCTCAAGTACGAGGTGAGGGGACCGCAACTCCTGCGCCTGTGACAGCAAGTCTGTACTGACACCTTAAAGGCTGGCCGATCTCATGGTCCTTGAAGGGGTCAGCGGGCCTTGGTGGCCTGTCTGCATAGGCCACAGTGAGTGTCAAGCCCAGATTGGTCCATGCCAATCTGACTGACTGTGCCTGACCACAGGAAGCGGTGCGGCATGCGGAGGACGCAGTGGCAGCGGCAGGCGCGCTGGAGGGGGTTGTGGCGCAGCAGCGAGGGGAGCTGGAACGCCTCCACGACAGGTGAGCGCGCGGCAAAGGGGACACGACACACAGGCCACCACATCCGAGAGTGTCATGCGTGTTTGGGCTGGCTCATGGGGAGCGCTGTCAAGCCTACCACGAGGAGAGCATTTAGTAGCTGCAGGTTGCCAGGGCCAGTACTGCAGCACGCCGTTCTCCTTTCAGTACCAGACTGGTAGGACACTGGATAAGGTGTTGCCTAGTTTAGAGATCCACGGATACGGTGCTGGAATTGTGGACCTAAAAGCAAGCCACAACGAAAGCATCGAGGGTCTTCGGAACACCACTGGGCAGGCATGGGCGCCGGCAAGCTGATCCACCTTCCGACAGTGGTGGCACACTGACCAAGGTCAAACAGACGAGCGGCTCCTTCCCCTGGCCCATCCAGGTCCTAGGGGCCCTGCCCCGGTCACCCCCCATGCTCATACCTGTGTGTGTGCGCAGGCTGCGCTCAGCAGAGTCGGCGGAGTCGGCTGCGGCGGCGGGGTGGCGGGCGGCGGTGGGGCAGCTGGAGGAGCAGGCGGCGCTGCACCAGCAGCGGGCCGAGCTGCAGGACCAGCGCGCAGCAGCACTCGAGGACGCGCTAAAGCGCGAGACGGGGCGCACCACGCAGGTGAGGGGCACGCAGCACAAGGAGGAGAGGGGAGGCGAGAACGAGGATGGTTCCAAACGGGCAGATGCAGGGGGCAAGCTCGCATATCTGGGTCGTGGAGAGTTGGTTGGCCGACCCCCTGTTTCAGATGTAGTCCCGTGGAGCAGAGCGCACAAGTGCTGCTGTAGAGGGTACCACAGGGGATCAGGCTCCCGCCAGCTGGCACTCTGGTGGGTCCTCAAGCAACGTCTTCGGAAGGGAGTTGCCACGACCATGAGAGGCCAAGATTTTAGCTAGAGTTTCACAGAGTCAGCTGCTTCCATCGTTGTTGTGGGTCTGCCTGTTCCTTCCTCTCTTACGTGTCCTCCCCATGAATCCCCGTGTGCTGTCGGGCATCCAGGCGGAGGCCGAGGCTGCGTCCGCTCTCGCGGTGTGTGAGGAGCAGCGCGGCGTGATCGCGGAGCTGGAGCTCGCAGTGGCGGGGGCGCGCGAAGATGCTGCCGCGGTAGCTGCGGCGGGGGCGGAGTGGCGGCGGCAGCAGCTGAGCACGGACCAGGTGTGGGCCGACAACGCGCGCCTGGCCGCGCTGCTGCAGCACGGGCCGTACTTCCAGACGCTCCTGCAAGGTAGGCCGGCACCACGCGAAGCGGGCTGAGATCACAACGGCTGCAAGTTGGAGCGACCGACGAGCGTAGAAAGAGCGACCAACGAGCGGAAACCGGAGACTTCGAGAAGGTCAATCCTGCTTCCTTTTGTTGCATCCTCATTGCGCACGTGACGGCCACGAAAGCCACAACGGGCCGCACTCTTGTCCCCGTCCTAACCTACCGTGCACGCGGTGCTGCGCAGAGCTCGAGGATGCGGACGGTGGTGTGTACCTGCCGGCAACGCAAGACGGGGCCGCGGAGCTGCAGGTGAGCGCCTGCCCCGCGCAGCAGCCAGGCCAGGGGATGTTTCGTTGCCCGATCAGCCGTCTATCATGGGCAATCAACCAAAGTCGCCGTGGCTTTGTCCTTGCTTCACCATTTTTTGTCTCGCTTTGACGCGTCCCCCTGGTCGGTTGTCCTCCGCCAGGCGCTGCTCGACAAGTACGCGGACTCAAGCGACCGGGTCCCCATTGTGCCGGGCCGCGAAGGCGCCAACTGGTGAGCCCGTCGTCAAGGGGGCGCACACGGCTTGGATTATCTTGACTCGAGGGCGTCACTGCCAACGTTGGGCCGTACTTGGGTGCCTCAGTCCGCGCGACTAACACCTCGGACTCTGACGGGTTCCTGCATGACTTGGACTCAGAGATGGCAGGCTGGCTAATATCGACGGCCGCTTTGTGCAGGGTGCCTGCGGAGGCGTTCGACCTGGTGGCGTCCTTCTGTGCTGCGCACGTGCCTGCCCTGCCGCTCCCGCCACTGCACGGCCTGCTGGTGAGGCCGCTGCCGCAATTCTCGCAACGGGAAGCGATGCTCATTCTCGAGGCTGGAGCCTACATCTCCGTCAGGCGTCTGCGTCAAGCGCAACTTTCTGGGCGAGACTCGCTTAAGTTCATGATCCTCTGGGTGATAGAAACTTCGGGGCTGTTTTAGTGTGAGCCACGTAGATGCTTCTAATTGGGCGTTGAGGACTGGCCTTCTGTGACCACCTTTGGTACGACAGCTGAGAGGCGGTCGGTTACTTGTCCACCACTCAACTTTCCTTGCCCGAGCCCTCCGCATATCACGTCGGCGGGGTCGCTTCTGCATTCTGGCGCAGGTCGCTCGGGGGCCACCCGTTTGGTCGCGTGCATTGACGCTTGTGTGTGGCGGTGCGTGCAGGTGCGGCTGAACGCGGTGTGGCGGCGGCAGGAGCAGCGCAAGCTGGCCCGCGCCAAGGCCGGCCACGCCAAAAGGACGGCGGACCTGCGCCGCCAGCTGCAGCAGACCAGGCCGTACCACGACGTGAGGCACCGCCGCAGCCACGCCTTTTTATACCGTTCTAGATATTGCAGGCAATCGAAATTAAAATGCACTTAAGACGCCTCGACTGGGGAGATCTTGCTTCATGACAATAACGACGGCCTTTACAAATGGAGACGGGTCACCATCTGGTGCAGGTCGTCGGAACATGCCGCGATGGGCGCCCCAAAGTGGCTGCGAGCAGTGCGAAGGAGGACAGTCCACGGCGAAGAGACAGTTTCCGGCCATGGTCTCCGTCATATTTAAGTGAACGGTATTAAGTTGAGGTGAAGGCACACGCGGTGCTATGAGCGTAGGAAGCGTCTTACTGGAAGTTGAATCAAGATGCTTTCCAATACCTCAATGCACAGTATCCCGAGCACATGAAACTGCTCGTGCTAACTGCATGCGAAGATTCTGACAAGCTCATATGTCCCGTAGATACGGACGTGCAAATGCCTACGAAGTTTTGGTTTGCATCTGAGTCTGGCCAGGTGAGTGGTAATGCAGCACCCATGCCGCACTGGGTCTGACAAGTCCAACCCTATACAAGCTGCAACGGCAAGCTCGATCGCGCAAAACTTATCTTTTTGATTTGGTATTGGCACGCGCCAGGCAATTCAAGTGCATGCCACGAGTTGCATATATAAGAAGTCTTGTCGGCCTGGCACGACCGAGGGCGCTGAGGGCCCATGAGTGGAGATCGACTCGAACTAGATTAACCAGATGTATACTCGGCACGAGGCACACAGCTCTCACCGCAAATTAAGATTCGCACGTGCACTATATGGTGGATTGTTAATCAATCTGATCATCTAGCTTGACGCGGATGCTCGTGGTTCATGTGTGCAAATAAAATTGCCATTCCATCTATGAAGTGTAATTAAGCAGTGTATACATGATCAAAGGAACCAGTGGTCGGTTTACCATTCTCAAGTCGATCTCAAAAACCGCACCATGAAGAAACGTTGGTCGTCCTCGTGCCTGCCGTGGGTGCCAGCTCAAATGGATTTATCAGAGCTTTAGGCTTCAAGTTGAGGTTGGGTTGGAATCCATGTTTACTGATTGAAAGGGTCATATTGATTACAAAGCCATGCACAGATCATTCGAGTCTGACGGGCCGGAAGGGCCGCAGAAGCAGACAGTTAGACAGTCGGGAAAAGCATGCTTTAGACATATCTGCAGCTTAGGCTTCTTGGAGACGCCCTGTACATCTCGCCTTGAAAGTCTACGTTCTCGCTCAAGTGTCCTGAGAAACTTCGATACAAATTTCAGTACAGACGCACCTTGAATGAACTGCGGTTGGTTTTGGCGTTAGAGGATGTCCACACTCTCGGTCATGTGAGAGTTCGTAACATGAGGGATGCTGAAAATCAAATTTAACCGTGCCAGGCTGTCAGTAACATCTGCGCGGGAGACTTCGCCGGTTTCTGAATAACGTTTCCTCTTACCGTTACTGGTAACTGCTGCTGACTTGTAAAAGTCTGTAATCCCAGTCGTTCAACACACACTTCATTACTTGGACACCTTTGCATCGGCCTCCTTGATGAAGTCGATTGCTTTTTTACAGATGCCGGTCATGCTGGCTTCGGGTCCATATACCTGCAGAAATATAAACACAGGGAGTCAGGAAGCTGGAGGCGCAATCCGTCCACTCTGCCTCCAGCCAATCACGAGAGCCTCCGTCCGAGCGGGTCGTTCTCTTCAACTGCTTCGGGCCCACGCGCGCCGGCTCACCTCAATCGGCACTCCGATCTCGGTTCCGAGCTCCTTCATCTTCTGCAGCCCCGTCTTGTAGTTGGGCCCCCCTCGCCGCACGAAGATGCGCATGTGCGCCGCCTTGATCTGCTCCTGCTTCTCCCGGAACGCCTTGATGATCCCGTTGAACGTCGCCGCCACGTCAGTGAAGTTGGCAATGCCACCCCCCACGATCAGAGCGCGCGCCCGCGGGTCCGGGTCCGCCGTCGCACACTGCACAGCCAAATGAGAACGCTGCCTATATGTCTGGAAAATTCTGGCTGCACAGAGATTGCGCACTGAAATGCAACTAGATAAAGGTGACATATCCAGCGCATGACGAAGGCAGCCTGGCCACTCCGAAGCTGGCGTGTGATCTCTTACGTCCACGAGCGTGCGCGCGTACTTGAGCGTCTCGTCCTCGCTGGGCGCCCCGCTGTACTCGGCGTAGTTGCCCAGCTCGTGTGCGTACCCCAGGTCGCCCACCTGGACACACCAGGGACGCAGCTGTGGGTCCGGGCTCGAACACAGCACGCGGACGGGGAAACCCAAGTCGGGGGCGGGACAGAGAGGAAATACCAGACGGAAACTTTGATTGGAGCAAGTTCCGGATCGTAATATTTCTGGACTGTTTTCGTTGTCTTGGCAAGCGGCAGCACATGAGTGTGCTGTCCAGGTAGGGCTGCTCGACCCTAGCACGTGGCTGCTGCGAGTGGATTCAAGGTGGATTTAAGCTGGTCGCGAGCGTGGAGCTTACGGTGTCGGTGTAGATGACGGAGGCGCCCCCGCCCGCCACCATGGTCCAGATGCGGCCCTTGGGGTTCAGGATGGTTAGCTTCAGAGAGGCGCCCGTCTGCACAGGCACGGGCGGAGCCGCATCGGACAGCGGAGCAGGTCGTGCCAAAGAGACAGCAGCGCCAGAAAGCCTCCTCGGCAATGATACAAGAAGCAACATCAAGCTTGACAAATCCGAGCTACGTTGCACCTTCTGTGGACCAACACCAGGACTTGTGATGCTCTAACAAAAAGAGGTTCCCATGCGTTGCAGCTGGGCAAAGGTCCCGTCTTCTACATTGGGGCATGCTGAGGCCAGTGGCGCAATTGCGATCTGGCGAATATGGTGGAAGAGCCCCTACCTTTTCGTCGAGAGAGTGGATGTGGTGCTCCGCCAGCGACATGGTGCGGCCGAAGGGGAGGGGGAACTCGATGTCGCCCCACCTGCGAGCAGACACGACGAACCCCGTCAGCAGCTCGTCACATCCTTCAAGGCCAGCTTCAATTCTCGAGCTAACCAAACCACGGTGTATGCTTCCGACCACAATCGAGATGGCAAACGGTGTGCAAGCCGGATTCACCACAGTCGAGAGGGGCTCGATCGGGGGCGGCTCACTTTTGGAAGTCCTTGAACTGCGCCGTGTCATCAAGCTCGCCGCGCAGGTCGAGGGGGAAGGGCTGGCCGGCCACGAGCGTGAAGGGGTTCATCTCGAGGAGGGAGAAGTCGAGGTCGGTGTACACCGCAAACGCGGCCGCCAGGAAGGCCTGCATCACGTCGTGGATCTCCAGCGGCAGCGTGGCAATCAGGGGGGCCATCAGGTCGGGGGTCAGCGGGCTGTCGGACGGGACAAACACGTGCTTCACCTGCGCGCACAGACACAGGACACAGGGTGGGGCGGAGCGACGGGAGCCAAGGGGCATGACATGATGACTGCCTATCTAATGGAAACTCGACCTTTGATTAATGATGAATGATGTTGGTTCTCTGTAAATCATGGCGGAGCTTCATGGGTCAGTATAAGTATGATCACTAGAGCAGCTTCAAAGGAATTGCTGACAGGTGTTGTGTGTGTTGAGAGCATCAAAGAAATGACATCAGCACATCTCAAGGTCTCCCAACTTGTAGGGTGCTCAATTGGCTAGTTCCCAGGCTCAGCCTTTCACTCTGCGAACCTTCCTCAGTCATGGCCATGTGCACCCACCGAACCCTCTGCCCGCCCGCTCACCTTGTCCCAATTCTCTTCAATCTCGACCCCCCCTGCATCCGAGAAGCGCACATCCGACCCCAGGCGCTGTGAGGTGATGGACAGGTAGTACTCGTCGTCGTGGGGCACAAATGGCTCCACAATGAAGTGGGTGACAGGGCCGCGTGTGCCGCTGACCTCCACGCTCTTGCCCAGCCGCTGCGCCACAAACTCCTCCACGCCCTCCAGGTCAAGGTTGAGGCCAACCTGGGCAAGCACAACGCAAGGGCAGCGCTTCAGCCTTCTCATCCATCTTCAGCACACACAACTTGGAAAACATTCCCGAGGGCCCTGCCTGGAGGCTGTGGAATACTACGAAGAGCTGAGTGTGAGCCTGGTCCTTCAAACTTGTCCATCACCTTTGGCGTCAGCAGAGCCTGCCAGTGAACATGCCCTTGGTGCATCCTGCAGACACATCGTGTGGCAGCGACACTGATCTACTCATAATGTGACGTCTGTCGTCAAGAAACACAGCACTGAAGCTGCCCTCTCTGTGGAGTTACATGGTCAGCAGACAGCGGCCTATACTATCAGCAGGTGAGGTGAAAAGATGAAAGACTTGCAAATGCAGGATCCAACAATTCAGGAAATGCAAGTGCTGAGGTGCTTCTTGTCCACTCACAAGGCCGCTCTTCCCACGCTTGCCGAACAGCATGTCGGGCTTGACCACCAGCCTGCTCTTGGTCAGCCAGGGGTTGTCCCGTGCCAGCTGGGACCAGTCCGTCTCTGCAGTGACCTGCCAAGGACAAACAGATGGACAGCAATCCTTAGCTACGCAGGGCATTGATGTCCATTATACATCTATGCCCACTGATCCGCTTGTTTTCTTGTGCTCCTCTCAAATTACTTCACTTGTTGATCAACTTCAGGAGGCACAAGCCAACAGACTGACGAGCGTTTGTCGGATTCTTTCTTTCCAGACTGGCAACTGGACAGAAGACCTCCAATGAGCCACTTCAAAAGCTGTCTGATGTGCAGGCGAGCTGAGAACCTCTCAGCTGGACAGTCTCCTCAAGCCTGATTTCCTCGTGTTCCATACCCGCTCACCTGGGCTGCATTCATTGGGAGCTCAACGCCGGCAAGCCGTTTCATATGTTCCTTCAGGAGGCGCTTTGAGTCATACTCGCGGATCTTCTTGCGCGCCATGTGGGAACACCGTCAATTCAGCTGCTGTGAAGAAGCAGCTCGCAACCGAAACAAGGCAAGATGAGATGAAAATCGAGGAAGACGCTTCTCTAAAGGATTGTGACAGACAGCGATCTAGGACGACAGGATTGTGACGGACAGCAATCTAGGCCCACCTGGGCGTCCTAGGCTACAAATGACGTTGACAGCGACACCTCCGCGATGATTGCCAGTGCAGCGGCGTGGTGTGTAGGCATCACTAGAAACTAGAGATGGGTCATGACTCTGAGGCTCTGAGTCTCCGAGTCCAACACACGACTTTATGCCAATGCCAACGGTGCCAGGTGGACCGCAATGATGACGTCAATGCCTGCGAGGGACCTGGGTTCGATCCCTCGCAAACGCACTACGGGTCATGCCGCGTGCGGGGTAAAAAGGGTGTATAATTCCTCGTAAGTCGAGGTCGTCGCCGCCTCCCAGGGGCCGCCGTGCGGTTTGGCACCCGCGCTCCGGCGACCATCGCCAGGTATAGGAGT